TGCCTCCCTGACCTGGACAATGAGTGCACCCTGGAAGGAGCGCCTCCGCCTCCTCCCGCGCGCTCCTCAGGCTTCCTGGCCAGCCGTTCGATCTGCAGCGGGCCAGAGCCGGCGTTGTGAGGGCCCGTGCGTGGCCCGTAGACGAGGCCAGGCTGTGGTTTCCTGGACACCTGCCCTGCCCTGCTTCAGGCCGCGGCCTCGCCGGCTGGGAGCGCCACACGCCTCGATCTTCTCCCACGGCCTGGGCCGGAGGCGGCCTGGGCGGGTCGAGGCCTGGCTAGGGGCTGGGCTGCGTGGTAAGCCAGCGACAGCCCCCTTCCTACGGCCTTGCCTCTTCGGAGCGCGCCACCTCCCTTGGGGCCTTCCTTCTCTCGAGGGGTACACAGAGTTTGTCGCCACCCCCGGCCTTGGGTGGGGCCCCAGCACCAGAAGCTTGCAGGTTTCCTGAGCAAAGACAGGAGGGCGCTGCCCCACCTACACACACCCCCCAAAATAGTAACAGCAGTAGCGTTATTACCCCCCAGCATCTCTGCAGACAGTGGGCAGTGGGGTCCTCAGACAGGACTGAGAGAGTGGGGGATCCAGATAGGCACTCACACCTCCCTCTTAGGTTTCAGCTGGCTACCCCCTATGCTCCTTCCAACCTCCACGTGGTCCGAAGTCCAACCAAGCCTAGCTCTCAGCTGTGAAAAACCACCCCAAGGAAGTGGCCGAAGTAAGGAAAGTGCCCGCGCACCATTCAAATAAAGTTCTTAAGAAGCCGAACACAGGCTGGCACAACTAGCCTAGGATCGGGAGCTTTGGGGCCCCGCCGCCCCCCGCCCCCCCCACGTCCGCTCTTGGAGAGCCTTGGCTGTGTGCAACCCAGGAAAGGTTAGCGTCTTGCCCAAGGTCACACAGCACAAGCGGGGGTCCGAGCTGAACTCACGACCCCGTGGGGAGCCCGCAGCCCTGTGCGGCCGCCTATCCACTGGGCTGCAATCCCGACGCACACACACCCCTCTGGGGGATGGATAACAAGGCGAGCGCACCTCGGTGGCGAGTTACAGGGGGTTCGCCACCCCCATGTCCGCTCAAGAAAGGGGTCCCCTCAGCGCACACGCTCGGGTGCCCGGGCAGCGGCGGTCCGGCAGGCGCGCTCAGGGGCGCAGGGTCTGGGAAGGGCGCACCCCGCCCCATCCCCGGCAGGAAGTGGCGGGCAGGGAGCGGCGCGGGCCCGGTGGCCCGGGAGCACTTCCTCATTGGCCCCGCGCTGCCCCGACGGCGGGAAGAAGATGCGCGGGCGCAGGGCACAGGGCCGGACACGCCAGCGCGCTCCACCTCGCGGCGGCCCAGGGAGGCGGCCTTGCGCCCTTCTCTGCCTCTTCCTCCTCCGCCGCCGCCTCCTCCTCCTCCTCCGCCTCCTCTCCCCGAGCGGCCGAGCACAGGCAGCGCGATCCCAGCTGCTGCTCCTCTCTCCTCCTTTCCCCTCTGCCCGTCTGGCACGGGCGTCATTAGTGCTGAAAGCTGTTCATGTCTGGTGTCGCAGCTCCCCCTTAAGTCTTGCTGCGCTCCCTGCCTCGCGTTCCAAGTCGGATCAATAGCCGCCTCCAGGCCGACCCTGCTGGCCTATGGCAGCTGGCTCACAGTACCTCCACCCCAGCCCACCGAATGCCGACATAGTGGGCGTGCGGGCTGCGAGGGGGGTGTTGGCTGCCGACAGCCCGGTCTCGGGGACCTCGGGAATCCAGTTCCCCGCCGAGCAGGCCACAGCACCCGACCTGCTCCTGGAAGGGCCAAGCCTTTTATACAGGGAAAGTGACCTTGCTGCACAAAGGCGGCCAGCGCATTTGGAGGGGTGGCGATCACACTGAAGAAAACGTAACAGGGAAAGGTCCCATTCCAGGCGCGCTCCAGGACTGAGAGCCACTCATTGGCAGACACCTGCTGCAGCCAGACTGTGGCCTGGTTGGGGAGCTGGGGGCTTGGTGTCCTCAGAGCCCACACTGACGTTTTCTGCAGTGTCTAGAGAAGACGACGAAGTTCTTTGAACCCACAAATATTTTTGCCTCTTTTTATTCTTTTTTTTTTTTTCAGCTTGCCAGGGTCTACCAGCAACTAATCCTCTAACATATTCTCCACCACTTTCAATGTCTTCATCAAAGAGGAGGGTGACCATCAGGAATCCCATTTCACCACGTTAGAGCTCCCTTTCCCACACCTGATGAGGGTCCCTCACTCCTTATGGTCCTTGTGGAACAGCTGGGGGGGCGGGGGCGGAGTTTAAACAGACATGTGACCTAAAGCCAGACTTCCTGGTTAAAATTCTTTGAACAATTCTCAAGGCTTGCCTCTTAGCGCTGGCATTCTCTTGAAGACCCTACAAAGTGATCTTTGCCTGCGGTGTGTGGATGTTTTGTGTGACATCTTTACTCCAAAAAATTAAAAATTGAGAAGCATCGAGATAAGACACATCAGTTAACTTGTTCTAACTTGCCAGGAAACTGCGGCCCACCGAAGCCCTGCTCAATCATCTTTCTGTACAAATTCCTATGGCTTCCAAGACGGCCTTGTCCCCCTTCCTAGAATCTCTCGGAGCTGGAGAACCCAGGAGCATGAAAAGACAAAAGAGGCACTGGGAGCTTCCTGGCATATCTCTTCTTTCATGTCATTCCAGAAAGGTGACAGCCAGTGTCTGGGTGCCCTAAGCACCATCGCCCACCCCCACCCCCACCCCTGCCAAGGAGGGGCTGAATTTGTGGCAGGTTTTGGCACTGATGCCAACGAGCACAAAACTCACCTCCAATGATTGTTTGTATCCTCCTCCCCCTACTGTGGATGTAACAGCCAGGCTTTGGTTAAAACGTGGCTCCATGCGTACCCCTTTTCCTCCTCTTTTTTTGCAGGTCACACCAGTCACCTCAGTACAATGACAGGTTTCCTGCAACGCTTAGCGATGTGAGGTGGAAGGGCCTGCCGGGAAAACCAAGAGGCGCCCATGTGCCCTGCCCATAAAGCTGCAGCCCACAAGGGGTTAAAGCGACTTTGCGGTTCCTGAATCATGTATTACTTTCCTTTAAAAAATATATATATATTTTAATCCTTACCCAGCTCTCCGTCTAGGAGAAAGGTTCACACCCACATCAAATGTTCCTCGCTCTGTCCCTGTCACCAGAGAGGATATTCAATGGCTCAGTACTAGACAATCTGAAACTATTTCCACAGCGTTCTCACCTCATTTGGAATTTTCGTGCCTTGCTAATTTTAATTCTTTAGTTGAGTCATCAATTCAAATTTGGTTGGGGTTGGCATCACCCAATTGGTTGACTTAGGAGAAATATCGTTCAGGAAGGTGCCCAGACCCCATCACAAACCCCCTCCCTCATTCCCAGGGATTCAAATGGTGTGTGTGTGTGTGATTCAAATGCTGTGTGTGTGTGTGTGTGTGTGTGTGTGTGTGTGTGTGTGTGTGTGATGGAAAAGGGTCTCAGTGCTACTTCCCCCCTCGCCAGTGAGTCTCCCAAAGGTGTCATTGAACACACACGGTGCTGAGACGTGCCAGGCGCTGTTTTGAACACCCCAGGCACACGCACACACAGGCCAATGTGAATTCAGCAGCCCGGTGGCCATCCATCCACCCCCCATGGAGCAGGAGGAGGGGAGTGGAGAAGGAGTGGGAATGGTTCCTTGGGGGAAAGAGCTAGATTCTGCGGGGAATGTTCAGTTCTATCGCTGGCTGCCACTGCTGCGGTGCCTGAGCCAGCCATGTCTGGAGCTGGGAGCCAGGGAGGGGTCAGACATTGAAGGCAATTGCACCCACCTTCCTAACCAGGCTTCGTGGAGGCTGAGTCCACCACCAACTGCTTTTCTGAGGTGGAGGAAGTGGGAGTTGCAGGCAAGACTAACTCAGAACCCAAACCCAGATCCCGGGCACCTGAGCTGAGGTGCCACTACAAGGGAGGCCTGGAAGGGGGAGCCGGGGCAGCCTTCCCTCCGGGAAGAACAGAAAGGCAGGCTTGCTAGTAGATGCTGCATGGGCAGGTGACTACCAAAATTCAAAGCAAAACAAACAAACAAAATCAAAACCAGCCTACACAATGTGGCAGCCCCGCCTTCCTGAGCTAAAGAAGTGGGCAGTGTTCCTGGGGCTCCCCCTTCCCTGCGACTGCTGTCAGGACTTTTCCAAATGCCCTGCTGCTGCCCACTGAACACGGTGCCCTGAAAGGCCCCTCAGTGGCCTTGCCTCTGTTTCCTAGCTCAGGGCTGAGGTTACCAGTGGCCCCCAAGCAAGCTTCTGTCTTTCAGGGCAGCGTGTCTCCGCAGGTGCTGCAAGGAGCTGCGAGGAAACTGGGTGTGCTCTTCTAAAGGGGCCCGGGAAGTTCTAGAAGTTGCTCCATTGTGTACAGAGGAAAGCACAGCGTTGGCTGGAAGACACACTTTCAGCTCGATTTACAAGGCAGCTCAATTTGCTGCAACAAAAGATAGTGAGTGCCACCCAGGGAAAACGCAGGGCTGGGCTGCAGTGCGCTCTGATGTTAGCTCACTCGGGCCTTAAAATCATGACTGCAGGGTGGTGGCAGGCCCCTGGCTTCTGAAACACGGGCATGGCCAACACATTGCCCATTTGAACTTGAGACCAAGCCCTCGTGACCTCATCCTCTCTCTCTCTCTCGCTCT